TCCCTACACCACAGTTTGTTTCCTCAGACCATGGAAGGGTAAAATGCTGCTGAGAAATCCCGGGCACAGCTCAATGGCAGGACTGTTGTAAGTAGTTATTTGTCACTAGTTTCCCCCATAGATTTGTGTATTTTAGGTCAAGTGTTTGCACATGCAAACAGCAAAGGGAGAGGCACGTCTGCTTCTGCCAAACTCAGGAGATGAGAGTCATGAAAACATCACCTTCAGTTTGGGCCATGGAGCCCTCTGTGCCCCTGCAACCTCAACAGAAGTTACAGAAATAGCTTTACTTTTCCCCAGATTGTGCACATGTGAATTGTTCAGCCCTTTCCCTCCCCCCTGAGACATGTACACAACACAGTCGTCTACTTATTTATTTTGGCTTTTACTGGAAAAGACATTAAATAACATTTAAAACGTATTTCACTTTTTTTTCCTTTTTTTTTTTTTTTTTTTTAACAAAGTGAGTAATTTAAAAAGCTGACCATGAGAGTGTTAAGACTGTTCCTTTTCCTGCTCTTGTAGGAGATGCTTTAGCAATCAGTGCAGGTGCTGGCTGAGCAGCAGGTCTGTCTCTGCAGTCAGGTAAAAGAACAGCTTGTTCCTTGGGGAGGGGAGGAGGGATGCAGGCTGCAAACAACACCTTTCAAGTAGTGCAAATCATGTGGTACCACAGAGGACAAACAAAACGGGTGGCAGGGAAAAGGCTCCTTAGCCCATGCAGGGCAAAAGTCAGTGGGAGGGAAAGTGGTTTGGCTCTTTCCAAAGGCTGTCACAGCAACCACTGGAGCCTCTGCCTCTGCCTTGCCCCAGGACTCCAGCCCAGCCAGGGGATCTGCCTGGGGGGGTTTGGTCACACGGGGGCAATCACCATGGGCTCCCCAGCCCCTTGGAGCAAAGCTCAAACCCCCCAGGCAGTTGCAACTGAGCTGGTGGCCCTTCTTCAGTGAGGTCATTGGGACACAGTGCCCAGACTCCATAGATCTGGGCTTCAACTTCCCTGGCTGCATTTTGTGTGCATTTAAAATCCAAAGCAAAGCCTGGAGCCCAGCTGGGGTGAGACTCCTGTGGCCACCTAGGAGGGCAGTGCTGCCCTGTGCCTCTACCAGCACAGGAGGGCTGTCCCTCTGGGCTTCCCAGCTGCCTGGACACTGCTGAGGAGCAGCTGCTCTCCCCAGGTCTGGCTGGAGTTGGAGCTGGAGGTGAAGCTTTCCTCCCATGTACTCCCTGGCCACTAGCTTGGTCCTACACAAGATGCAGTGCCTGGGCTGGCCCTTGGTTTGTTGGCTGCTGGGTCAAGGTGACAAACATGCTGCTCTCATGAGCTGTGCTGTGGGATAGTCCTGCCTGGCACAGCGCATGGGTGCACAAACCATGCAGCAGCAGTTCAAGGAGACAAGGATGGCTGGGAGACAAGTTCCTGCTGGAACAGCAGCCTGTGCCCTGGGTGTCACCCCCTGCAGACCCCAGTCCTGGTGACTCTGACAGCAGGGAGGAGCAGGCAAGCTCCTGTGCTCAATCAGGCTGCTACAGCTCTCTCCATGCTGTGTGTTTAAGGCTTTTATTCCTCAAAGTCACAAGCTATGAGTGTCCTCACTAAGCCAGAAGCAGAGTCAGGCCCTCAGTGCTGGTTCCTAGCCCAGACAACTAACCTGCTTCAGTGCTAGAGGAGCTAGTGTGATAGCTGACAAGGTGGAGGGTTCAAAGTACCTGTTGCCACAGGGAGTCACAGGGCAGGTGCTGTGTGTGCTTGAGTAGAAGTGTTTTCCCTGGTATTTCCCACCACCCCCCACCCCTACCCAAAAAGGAGTAAAATAATCCTTATCTCCAGGTAGCAGCAAGTACTTGGGAAGCAGCATGCAGGACACAGCAGCAGAGGAGAGAGGAAGGCAGAGTAGAAATCTGGACTTTCCTGGTGAGTACTCATTTGAATTGGATCTAAAAAAGCAAAAGGAGACCATGGCAGTAGCTGCACAAGGGCAGACACAAATCCACCCAGCTCACCTCCTGTTGTGTCCTAAGAAATTTGGGAGGTGGAGACAAGGTGACTTACATCAAGCAGCCAGAACAGCACAGGTTGGTCATTGGCCTCCTGGCAAAGGTTGATCAGGTGTAATGCCTTGTGTCTGGTAGATCTCCTTCAGAACAAGCAGAACTGTGTCTTCTGACTCCCTGGAGTAGAAGGACATGGGAATTTAGAGGGGGACACTTCCCCCCACTCTGTCAGGACAGCTGTGGTGGTTGTGGGGTAGCTGCAGTGCTCAGCAAACACAGGCAAGAACTACACTAGCCTCCCTCCTCTGTCCCTGCCCACCTGCTACAGGCAGGAGCATATCTTGTTTACTCAGGGCTTTTCTTACTACGTTGGCTTTAAAAATGGTGGCAATCTGCTTACGTCAGGCAGGAATTTGAACCCTTGATGGTTATGCAGAAGCTTACCAGTAGCAGAGATGCCCTTGCAGGGCAAATAGATACTCATTAAAGCTCTCTATTGGCTTCTCCTGCAGCACGTAGTCAATGCGGTTCCCTCCGTTCAGCCTCCCCACGTTGATGGGGGGGGTCTCCTCCTTTGCTGCTGCAGGGGGCTCGTCTGGCTTCGTGTCTGAAGGCATGAAGAGCAACGTGATTCAGCTTAGGGGCAGCAGCCCCACAGTGGGCTCTTGCAGAGGAGGGGCAGCTTCAGTGATGGGTCCTTCTCCCCTAGAGCTCTCTCTTGAAAAACAGTGTTTCAAGAGACAGCTAAAGAAGGGTGATTGGCTTGGTGGGCTTACAAAGGGCTGAGACCCCCAGAGCAGGCAAGTTGCTCCTTCTGCCCCTTCATCAGGCAGTGACAGGGAAGGGCCACAGCAGAGCCACATGCAGCTGCAGCTCCAAGGCGATCCCTTGGCTGGGCACAGGTTTGAGGCCGAGATGGAGCAAGGAAGCCCAAGCCTGGGATGTCTGTGGGCAGGTCACAGTGTCCCCTGCCCCGTGGTACCACCGACCTGGGGGTGAAGGACTGCCAGGCCACCCGCAGGGACCCCAGCAGGTTGTTCTTCAGGTCCACGCTCATCCGAGTCAGCCCTTCCTTCAGCTCTGAAAGGCAGGAGGGGTCAGCGTGGGGCTGGGGCCTCAGCACTGCCCGGGGTGGGGGGCAGAGGGGCTGTGCCTGCCCTTACCGAGGTGCATCCTCTTCCTGCCCTTGTGGTGGGGCAGCAACATGGGCTCAAACTCCACATCTGGGACAATCATGGGCTCGATCCTGTACGCCACCGGGTCATACTGTGTGGAGGAGGAGGAGAGTGAGCCAGGGCTTGGGGTCTGTGTGTGGGGCAGGAAGGCTCTGGCTCTTAACACTTACAGGGTGGAAGATGTTGAAGAAGCCTTTGCAGGTGGGCAGGCTGTAGTTGGGGTTGATCCGCTTGACTCCACGGACTGTGAGAAACATCCCGATGGGAGACCCAAAAGCAAAGAAGATGGTGGGCTTGTAGTCCAGCTGAGGATAGTTAGCTGAGACCTAGGAGAGAGGGAGAGGGGTTTTGTTCCATGGGACCAACTCCATGCTGGCTTTAGGAGCACCTTGTTGTCACAGTCAGAGCACAGTGCTGAGCTCTGTAGTTACCTGTCCTAAGGCAACATCCCGGTATTGGCAGTTCCTGCCCTCATCTGTGCTGTCTGGGTTGTGCTGTGAGGGGGACCCAGGCTGGGCCCTGTGCTCCCCGCTGTGCCCGGGAACTGCCGTGCTCTGGTCCTGCAGCAACACAGACAGAGGAAGGTCCTGCAATGAACCCGTGTCATGGCCTGTCCTGCCCACCTGGGAGCAAGTGCACCCCTTGTCCTCCAGAACCAGGGCAGCATCATCCCACGCCAGCTCATCACCTCCCTGGCTGGCAGCACTAGCTACAGTCTTAACCTCCATGAACAAGTCCTGCTGCTCTGTGATCACCCTTACAGACCACAGGGTAACGTGGCCCTGCAGGCAGGTGACATGGGAGCAGCAAGCAGCTCTGTCCCCACAGCCACACACAAGCCCATGAGAGCCACCAGGAATGAGGAGCTCAGGGTGCTCAGGGATGGATCATAAGTGGTAAGAACTGGTCCTGAGAGCAATGGGAGCTGATCTGGATGGATACAGCCACGCAGAAGACAAACCTGCATCTCCCTCTTGGAGCTGATGTAATGGAGTATCTTCATTCTTGGTCCTAAGGGGATTCCCATTTCTTTAAGGTTTTTCTCTGTGCACAAGAACTGGAAAAGAAGCAACCCAGGTATCAGTGCAGGAGCAACAGAGGTGTGTGAAGATTTCCTTCTTCTCTGTGACTGATCTGCTGTGCTCCTCACAGACATTCTGTGTGTGAGTGACTCAGTACCAGGAAGATGTTCAGAGGGTGGGAGGACTGAGATGAAGAGCAGAGAAGAACCAGAAGAAAGGAAAAGAGGAGAGTTCCTTACCAGTGCCTGCCTGTCCATCTTTTCCTTCTCAAAAACATCACAATATTCAGACAGCTCCAGCTTCTTCAGGATTTCTTTTACTTCCCCAATGCCTCTGTTGCTCGAGGTTGTCCTGGAGCCCTGTGAACAGAGACATCGTGCTTTTTGCTCACCTGTTTTGTCCCATGCATTTTGGAGTCTCCCCTTCCCCAGCAGCTGCAGCAGCAGGTCGATGTGAGGCTGCACCAGCACAACCACCCCTGTGGCAACATCCCCCAGGCCCAGCCACCACCACACAGCACGTACCACCTCGCTGTGCTCGTCCTCCTCTGGAGCAGCTTTCTGGTTTGTCAGCAGATCAAACAAAATGAGCGACCCTGGGAACCAGGCAGAGACAGACAGAGCATCAGCATCTCATCAGGGAGCAGCCCTGGGGACCATCTCCTGTCTGGGGTGGAGCCCTGCTCCCAGGCACAGGGTCAGTGAGGGGACAGGCGGGTGAAGCCCCTTACCCAGGCTGTGCCCCGCGATGGAGACCCCCCCACTGAAGTGGGGGTTCCTCTGCAGGAAGAGCTGGTACAGGCGGTTCATCTCGGAGGCCACGGTGTCCACGATGGTCTGGCAGTACGTGGAGCTGTTGTAGAAGAACACGTCCAGGATGGTGTCGTTGATGAAGTGCCGCAGGCGGTTGATGCTCGGCAGAGTGATTCGCTCCAGGTCGCTGCAGGAGGAAAAAGGAGAGAGGGGGTGGCAGTGAGAGGTGCCAGGAACCCCAACATACTTCTAAAGCAAAACATAAGCTCAGGGAGGGATTGCTGCCATCCCAAAGGACCTGGTGTTGTAATCCAGACCCTCAGCTCGTGCCAACACCAAAGGCAGAGCACGGCCTGTGCACTTAAAGCTCCGGCCTTTCGTCCCCCAGAGCCTAACCTGCTCCCTCCCCTTCCTGGGGCACTGCAGAGCAGCATTGCAGCACAGAAACTGGGTGCTGGGGTCCCAGAGGCCTTTACTAAGGTGTGGATGCCCAGAGTGCCTCCTGATGTGGGCCAGGGGGAGGCAGAAGCTTCTCAGGCTGCAAGAAGGCAGTGGGGAGCAGGTCTGGCACAGAGGTGCTCTGTGGGACCCTGTCCATCCTGCTCAGCCCTGAACACTCACAGCTTCCTCTTTTCTGCAGAGGCCACCAGAAAGAGCCCAGTTTACATGGGAGGAGCCTGGATCTGCACTGTGCCATTCCCACAGATGCTGGCACTGGAAGAGGTGGCTGCCCAGGACACTTACACATCCACCCCGGTGGAGTGGAGGGAGCTGTGCCAGTTCACAGGTAGGAATTCCACCCGGCCAATCTGCTGCTGCTCCTGTGCTTTCTTGAAGTGTGCTTGCAGCATGCTCAGGGAAACGTTCCTGAAGTCATTGACTGGAAAAGAGCACAGATTCTTACTGAGACCCAGTGGGCTGCAGGGCAAGCCTGCTGCAGCAACAGCACTTAATAAGATAAAAGGAAAGACCATTACTAGGGGAAATCCCACCAGGGTCTTTAATCTGCTGCTGCTATCCTAAGACTTTGAATCTTTAACTACAAGATCAGGGGAAAATTCCATGTCCTTATATGTGTGTTTACTGGATTTCACTGTCCCATCTGTAACAAGCCTCTTTTCTGCATGGGCAAGACTTTCAACAGAGCAGTAGTAGGAAGAAAAGGTGCTTTAAGAATTTAAAAAAAAAAAATCTGTTGTGAGGAGAGGGAATCCCAAGGGAGGGAATGAACTTGAAATTCCTCAGTTGTCAGGGAGAGAGGCTGATTTCCTTCATTCTAAACTGTCAGCAGCCTTGAAAATAGTTTTGTCAGATGAACATACAGAAGAACAAACTGCATTAAAGCAGAGGTATGTTTTAAAGGAGCTAAAGACAGTCTGCTGTGAAAAATCTCAGCTCCCCTCAGGTTCCATCATATCAGGCTTCCAGGCAGGGTCAGTAATCACCTCTCCTGCAGAACTGCAGCACTCTGAGCATGTGACAGTGAACAGGTCAGACCAGAGTGACGTGGTTTAGTGACCTGTCACCAATATTGATCAACAGGGGATGCTCAGGGAAGTGTGTCAGACCAGCAATATCTCTGCATACCCTCCTGCCCCCAGGCATTTGCAGCTTGGAGATTTCCTGAGCCAGAAGCAGCATCCGTGGTTTTGGTCCACAATCACTGCTGGGTGGGGTGTTGCCTGTTAAGACTTCACCCCGGGAGGTTAACCCACAGCACTAGATTGAGCAGGTCGATAATTAGTTTAGCAGATTTAGACAGTTAGTTGCGAAATCTGTATCCACTTTGGGAAACACACTGTTCTGGGCAGCAGAACAGTGATGAAAAGTGGTTGCCCAAACCTTTCCCAAAGGGGCAGGATTTGAAGTGTCAGGGAGCGCTGCACTCAGGCTCCCCGCTGCAGTCAGCAGATTTGCCCATGAAAGCTTTTACCAGCATGAGGGTGGGGATGGTCTGGACATGCTCAGGCAGCCTGGGGCAGTGTCCAGGCTGGTGGGGGTTTCCTGGCTCCACCAAGAGCTGCCCGTGGAAGGAGCCCCCAGCCCCACACCTACCACACTGGACGATGCTCCGGAAGCGAATGTCGCAGGCAGGGCCAATCCCGTGCACCACAAAAACCAGGTGGTCGATTTGCAGGGGCTCTCCTGGGAGGAAAGAGGAGTTGGGAGAGCTCAGGCACTGCAGGGGACAATGTGGGACAGGGAGTTGTCCCCTCGGATACGGGGGAGCCACCCATCCTCCCCTCAGCCAGGTGAGAACAACCTGAGTTGGTGCCTGGGTTTTGTGCCCAAAGGGTGGTGGGATTTGGGCTTCCCCACATTTCTGAACTGACTGTCCAGCTCAGTTCAGCTGCCCACCCTGGGATGGTTCAGGATCGACGGGACAGCAGAGGGAGGCAAGGTGGCTTGTCCCCCTTCTGTCACTGTCTTCATGTCAGCAGGAGGGGGTGGTCCTGCAGTTCACATCCACCCAGCTGTGGGACACGTTGGGGATGGGAGAGGGCACGAGCAGAGGACTTGGCCCAGTTGTACTTTTCCCAGCCCCTCTGCTGGGCCACCAGCCCCCACCTGCACCAGGCAGGGTTGCCTTGTTCTCTACTTCCCACACACCTGAGTTTGCATAAGTACTTCCCTGAAGGTGGACACGGATGGAAAAGGGGTTAGACAGGAGTAACTGCCTGCCCTCACCATGGGGAAAAATTCTGAGGGCTGACTGGGAGCTTGGTGACACCTGGGAGTGGGCAGAGCTGACACACAGGTTCAGAGACAGGCAGAGCATGTGCCCCAGAAAGTAGTAGGTAAGTGATAAGCCTCTCTCCCTGCCATGGAAAGAAACTCTCCTCCTTTATGAACCAACATACCAAGACCTCAGGGATGGTGTCAGACACTGCAGAGCTTTTACAGCTGGGAGCTCGGGGTGGGAGCTTGAAGCATCCTGCCTTCCCCCTGTGTCTGCCCTTCCACGTGGTCACTCACACTGCAGGCCTCTGGTACTAAGGTTTCTGAAACCACTCAGTTCCTTGCATGACATTTGTAGATGTGCACTTCATTTAATGAATCATGGGAGCCTCTGCCAAGTCTTTTTGAGTATACAGGCTGGAAAAGAGACTCTAGTTCTGGATGGGTGGAAGGGAGGGAGAAGCAAGCTCACCATTGGGGATCTCAGCAGCAATGTTTTCTACTCCTCTCTTCACAGTCCGAGGTCGACCTTGTTCCGTGGGAGTGGAGCCCCAGTCGTCGGAGGAGGCAGCAGGGTGGTAGTGCACCATCAGCTGGGAAACAAGAGCAGCCTCTCATTAAGCTGTGACGTGGTTACACCGAGGAGAAATGTTGCTACAACAGCTGGTAGGTGACACGGGGTGGGACTGGAGCGTGATGCTGAGCTGTGCTAGCCCTTTGTACAAAGAGTGGAAGGTGTGTTGGGAAGAAGTGCCTCTGTGTGAAGCAGAGTCTGCTGGCATCACCCTCACGGGCAGGCAAGGAGAATGTTCAAACTTTGGACAGAACTGATTTCTCAGCAGACATGGTTAAAAGAAACAGCATAAAGGCAGAGCACAAAGACAGGCCCTAAAAAGAATGGAGGGATGTTCTTGCTGGTCAGCACACCAGGCCCCTCCTCACCTTTGGGTTGTGCAAGATAATGATTTCCCTGCTAGGAGACTCCAGTTTTGTCTTCCACTCGTCCAGGGTCACAGCAATCATGTAAGCTTCCTGTGGAAAAGAACATCCTCTGTGAGTCAGCTGAAGGTATTTCCCACCCATTTCACAGTATCTCTTGTCAACACACTTTGTGGAAGAGGCAGAAATCAGCCAGGTCAAGCTGGAGGAGCAGCAGGGTCCTCTGAGTATTATTTGTGAGAGGGTTTCCAAGAAGCCCCCACTTCAGCAGCCACAGCAGACTTCCCCATCAATTCAGAAGTATTCTTTGATACTGCAGATTAATTGTAAAGATGTATGTTTTTAAAAATCTATGCATCTTTCCAAAGATTAACAGGACAGACCACTGAAGTCTCTTAACACTACAAAGCACTCAGTGGGTCCCTGTAACGATGATTCCTCTTACATTCACAACTCCCTTGGTGAAACTATGAGCAGGGTGAGGACAATTCTCACAAGGAGAGTCAAGCTGAAGTTAGAGCAGACAGGGTCAGGAAAAAATAGAGCAAAGCTGCTAGAGTGAGGCTGCAGGCAAGGCCAGAGCTGCACGGCCTGCCGAGAGCACCCGGGTTCTCAAATGTGTAGCAGAAGGATGCTGACACGTCTGGGAGAGGCCAGGAGGGAGAGGAGGCTGCCCAGCCACAGCAGGCAGGGAGGGAGACAGTGGCAGCCTTCAGAGTTGTGTTAATCAGCTGCAAAAGCACCGTGCCAAAGCCTCTTTCAAGTTCATGTCCTCAGGCGCGACCGCGCTGCCAGTTGCCCCGTATGGAGTTTGGGACATCAGGGCCAAGTATTTGACAATCAGAAGCCAAGATGGATGCAACCAGGGAAGTGGTGTTTACCTCCAGTTCTTCGCTGAAGGACTCGGAGTAGGGAATGTACTTGTTGTCCTTGTCCCCCTTGTAGAACCAGGTGCAGCGACGCACCTCGGCTGCCTCCTCCTCCCAGTACACGGCCACGCGCTGCCGCTGCCTCAGGTGCACGTCGTACCTGCCCCCCGAGGTCGGGACAACCACCTCTTCCCTGTCTTTTCCTGCAGGAACCAAGGCCTGACATTAGTGGTGAGAGGACCACCAAGGCACACGACCAGGCAGCCGTGCTCCACAGCAGATCAGGGGGATGAGCCTGGAGCACCTTCTGTGGGCAGCACACACAGAGGACACTGTTGGGCGTCCTGGGAGAGATGCACCACATCAGGCTTCCCCCAGAGGCAGAAGGTAGGATGAAAGCATTGATCTACAACTGGCTTCCTCTCTAGTTCAGGCACAGGCTCACCTGGGACTCTCCCTGCCTTGCTTAGATGGTAAAACATGAATTTTTGGCCCTGGGAAGGCATTACTGAACAGTGAAGGTGCAGGTCTCCAAGTCTTTGTTTCTAAAACTGAGAACTCTGCACAGATCCCAATATGGGCTTCAAATTCTGCCTATTCTACTGCCCTGTGGCTCTGCCCACAGCCAGGCTGCCTGCAGAGCACCCCGTGCCAGGCTGTGCATGGCCCAGTGGTACAGCCTCTGATCCAAAGCTTCCCAGGACAGGGAGGATGGAAGCAACCCCAGTGAGCACTGGCCTGGCAGCGGGTTGCACAGGTGGGCAGTAGGAGGGGCTGTGCTCAGAGCAGACCCCCGTGCCTGGGCAGCACCCTGCAGAGCAGGCAGCCCCCCCTGGGAGCAGGCAGGCAGGGCACCATGGATCCACCCAGGAGACATCTCCCCAGTGGAATTTCTGCCCTGCCAGCCCTCTCCCATCCACACCATCAGGCTGCTTTGCAGTATGATTATATATAATTTAGAGCATATATCAAATGAATGAGGTCAGACCATTGGATGCTTTGTTATTTCTGTGTTTACAGCTCCAGGAGCAGCCACCTTGCCAAAAAAAAATTTAAAAAAATTAAAAAAAAATAAATCCCAATTTAAAATTCCCGAGGGAAAATTTTTACATCCCGGGTGGGAGGCACGGATGTGAGCAGGGAATTTCCTTCTGACACCCGGACAGCTTCCCCCGCGCACACACCTGATGCTCTCCCTGGGCAGCCCGGCCCCTCACGGCGATTTTAGGCAGAGCCAGCGGGTGTTTAGGACCGAAAGGGCAAATTCAGAACCAGCGGCGATGGCGGCGGGGCCGGCAGGGCTGGGGGGCCGGG